ACAAAGTATTGAATAAATACATATACTGTGAACCAATACTTTTTTACTTTTTTTTAAAATCCTGTTAAGTTACACAAGCATCCTCTTTATATCTCTCATTCTAAAGTACACCTTAGCGATTTATTGATATGCCACATAAGATCCTCCTTTTTGGTGCTATAGAAATAGTCACTCTATCCACATTGCAAGGGGTAGATGAAAATATTTTTTTTCTTAGGTGGTAAAATAAAATATGGCTGGGACTTGTTTTGCTTTGCAAGGATCCAGTTGAAAAATTAAACAAGCTTTTATCAACCAAAAAGTACGTTTTTCTTATATGTTTGAGTTCACCTTTAGCTTTGAAACACATTAAAACCAAGCAGAGGAACAGACTGGATGTAGAGAACATCCTGGGATTGGCTGTTTTTCACAATGAGCTCATCAAAGCAGCTCAGGTGTCTTGATAAAAATAGTAAAACTAATTAAGTCTGTCTGACTATAATGTTTGTTCAGTATTTTGTTCCTAATTCATCAAGTTTAAATGTGATTTTAAGGGAGTTACTCAGAGGAACTCCAGTTTAATAAATACAGGTTTATACCGGTAATAGGATTTTATCTATTTTGATTCTTTACTAGCTTCCAGGCAACATATTTATGTTGGGTTTTTTTTTTTAGATGAAAGCATAAAATACTTTGAGAAGAAAAGAATTAAATGCTCAAATCAAAAGATTAACTAAACTAGTTTTAATTTATATTCATTTAATTTATTTTCCACTTTTGGACAATCATCAACACTTTTGACTGAGAGGAGTACTCAAGATGCAAAAAGGGGTACAAATGTCAAAAAAGGATGGGAAACACTGCTCTAATTGACCCTCCTATCAGTGCTGGTATCACGGTGCAGATGCTGGTTATTCTGTAATCTTTTGATTTTCTTGTAAACAAACCTATTTGTCATGCTTAAAGCATGGGGTATACGTTTCTATTGTGTCTCTGCTCCAAGCATTCTCAGAACTATCTCCTTAACCTTACTGCTGTGTTCTTCATGATGCTGTTTGGTCACTGATGCTCTCTGCTTCCAATGCCTTCACAGAACATCAGGATTTACTTTGAGATTAAATTACACCTGCAGACACAATATTTTAACTAATGAAGAGACTTCTTAGGCAGCTGGATTTACTGATGCATGCTACTCTTTTTATATTGTGTTTGAACTAGACTAAATTGTATATATATATATTTTGCTATAAACGATTGTTTTGGTAAAATCCTGAAGATTCTTGACTGAAACTCTAAGCTGTGTGACTACTAGAGCAAGGCATTTTCTGCAGATAAAACATTGCAATAAACAAGGTATACATTTTTTCTTCATCTAATGCTCACTGGTAAATTTCTACCTGTCTCTGTCTGGTTTCAGGCCATGCAGCTCTTTTTACAGTATGAGTTAGTGTGTGGCTGCTGGTACAGTGACACAGCATTATCCCAAAAAGTGAGCTGCTGATGTAACAAGCTATCTGCTCTGAGAATAGAGCTCACTCTGAAGAGCAGCTATTGATCAACTGGGGTGAGTGAGTTTACACAGCACACCTCAACACAGTCCCGAGAAATGTGAAAGCACGGATCTGTTGAGATCTAAGATGAAGAGTAATCAAATCAGAATACTGTTATTCTGTTTTTTACTTAGCATTCCTCTGGGTTTGTATTTTTTTTTAGAGCTAACTCTCTCGACACTGTGGGATCTGTAAAACATTTCCCAGCTTCCACCAGTTTTCTTGCAATACTTGCGACAATGATCTTACTAACATACAAAAATGGGGAAAATATGCAAGGCCCGTGCCATTTCTAAAAGCAGAAAATTACCTGAGTCAGCTGATTTCAGTCACTACTGAGGTATGGTGGGGGAAGCATGATGCTGTGGGGATGCTCTTCTTTATTATAGACAAGGAAGAAAGTCAGAGAGGCTGATGGCTGTACCTAAATACAATCTTGGATGGAAAACTGTTGGCTTTTGGATTTGATTTGGTTTATTATGGCTTGCCATATTCTGGAGTTTGCTGCATGCTTTTCTTTGTTTATTTTATTTTATCTTTTTACCATGTGCATTCTGTCATATTTCTCTTGTATTTTTTGTGTGTGTTTTAATACATTGTGTTCTTAACTTCTCTATTCATTATTTTTGGATAGGTTCTCTTAGTTTCTTCCTGTGTTTTTTTTTTTGTGTGCCATTTATTCATTTTCTCCTCTCGCCTGAACCTTCTGTTAACTAGCTGATTCTATGCACCTACATGTCCTCATTTGTTTATTTGTTTTCTTATTTTTCACTCCTATTTTGATTTGTATTCAATTTCTCTGTTGGTTGCCAGTATTCCCTTGTCCAGTGTTAAGTTTTCATGCCTCTGGCCTTGTCATTCTCTATCAGAAAGTCTATTGTGAAGGCTCACTTTCCAGTTTAAATCAGTTTTATGTTCAGACATCAACCAAACAATGTCCAGATCTTAATTAAAATGGATTCAATTGAAAATTGTATCCATCTGAGACTTTCCATCTAATCTGAGTGAGCTTGAGCTAATTTAAACCGAAGAATTGGAAAAAAAAAATAAATTAAAGTGATTGCAGGTAAAGGTAGCTCTGTGCACTATCACCCTGTTTATTGCAGTTTTTTTGTTTTTTTTGCAGCAAATATTCTAAACCATCCCTAGATATGTTTTTACTTCTTTATTACACACTATTTCTTTAGTTTATCCATAAAATTACTAGATAAAAAAAGAATTCCTGGGGGTGCACATCACAGACAAAATCACCTGGACTGTAAACACCACCTCACTGGTCAAGAAGGCACAAAAAGCATATGTACTTCCTGCAGAGGATGAGGAGATCCCACCTACCCCCACAATCCTCACCACCTTCTACAGAAGCACCATAGAGAGCGTTCTGACCAGCTGTCTCACTGTATGGTGTCGAGGCTGCAGCGCCGCAGATTGGAAATGAGTGAGGAGAGTAGTGAGAACAGCACAGAAGATCATCGGGGCTCCTCTTCCCTCCATAAAAGACATTTCATCCCGAGCCCTTCACATTACAAATGACCCCTCACCCCCACCATGGACGGGCCTCCCTGCTGCCCACTGGGAAGAGATCTGATGCAAGTTCAACAGAATCCAAAACAGCTTCTTCCCACCGCCATCAGACAACTGAATGTTGAAAAAAAAAAAAAAAAAAAAAAAGCAGCTAAATGTTGGAAAAACTGTAAATCATATCTCAGTCTTATGTTTACATTTGATCACCGCTGCACCTAAAGAAATGGAAATGTCTTGAGAGCTGAACTGAATGAAATTTTATTTTGTATACACCCTACGTGTACAACATTACAATAAAGTTTGTCTAAGTCTAAAGTCACAAAAAACACAAAATTAAATTTCTGTCTGTACTATAGTGGGACTGCATTGTGGAAGAATTTGAATAACATGAAAACCTTCACAAGACAAAGTATCTAGACTTTTATCTTAAATGTGCTACTGAGCACTATTTCCAAAAATAGCTGCCACTGAGGCACTTTCTTCCAACAGGCTGTCAATCAGAGAAATGCCTAAAAATCAGAGTACTCAGATCAGTACATCCTTTCCACCAATCCAGGTTTCTTCTTTTGTAGAAACATGTTTTGAAGAATTACAAAAAAACATTGTTCTATTTCCCTGTTTTGTATATTCTAATGATGTTGATACTGAGAGCAATGTAGATCCAAAATTAAATCTATTGCTTATGTGCACAAACCTGAAATGCAAAGCTGATTCTGATGCTATTCTATTCTTTTTTTTTTTTTGTCTCAGGGCTTTGGTACCAACCAAAAGAGCAGGGAAAGATTCAATGTTAGGGAGAATTGTGAAATGCATACTGCTATATAAGTTGGGAGGAGGATCCTGTTCGTCAGGAACATATTTAGACTGTTTAGGGGTGGGCGATGGCCAGTCTTGAAAAATAAGCAACAAATTAATCTTGACCAGACTGATACAGTGGTGCAGGGGTGACAACAAACACATAGAGCAAGCCAAGAAGAATGCATCAGGGTGATGACTGGAGGTGACCTTGCACAGTGACATCTAGAAAAATGGCTGTCCTTGCAGGCTCAAGCATGACTCAGCTGTTTAATCCTTGACAGGTGTAGATATCTGCATGACACTGACGTTGAATTTGTTGGGAAACCATCATCCTGAACAAAACTAAACGTAATAAAACTTATCAATTGTTTGGATTTCGTTTTGAAAGCGTCAGGGTCGTAAGAAAACGGCCCTTAACAGTTGGAGGACTGTTGCAGTTGGACTGGCTGATGGATCTATAGGAACAGCTGTGTCTGGCTTTCCAACAGCACCATCTACTGGACAGTTGGCAGAACTGCTCCTGTCGTCAACCTGTCCAGAGGAGGCACCAGAAACGCTCAACCAAAAATAATTACAACCCCAACAACGTTGATGCCTGTCCGAACGGCAGGTTTACAAGAAGGGGAGTTGAAATGAGTCATAAATAGTAAATCTGACGTAAACAGCAAAGAATGAATAAATGCAATATGGAAAAACAACAAAACGAGAAAAAGATTGTGGCTACATAATGCAAAGGTTAGTGAATTCAGAAATTCGACTAGTTACATAATATTAGAAAATGTTATCACAAGATCTTTGCGGGAATATTTGTGGAAATAATAGTGCAAAAAATAAGGAAAGTCTAAATTTGCATCCCAAAAGAAACAACTAAAGTTATGCTGATTGTAGGAGAAGAGTTGACAGACAGAATTAGAATAAAACCGAAAAATAAATTTAATATATGTTTTGAAGAAGAGGTAAAAATGTGTTAACAACTTTATTCCCATTTTCTGCCTGTGTTTTTATTTGCTTTTTAAAATATATTATTTTTTCAGAACATGTGTCTCAATAACGTAGTTCTGCGCTCCGACCTCCAGAGCGGAAAGTGGCGGTAATGTTTCTGTGCTGCTCAAACTGATGCAACAAGAAGTAGAGAAGAAGAAGAGTAACTTCCGGCTGTGTTGACGTTCAGAAAGAGGGAACATTTGAAGAGTATCACTAATCTTTTTGTCGCCCTCTTCTTTCTTTCTTTCTTTCTTTTTTTTTTTTTTGAATAAACAGTGGTATAATTTCTTATAAAATGATTCAACCACTCTGTTTATTGGATAGATGGATTCAGGAAAATAACGAGTTGGCTTCTAGCTATAAGGTAATTAACGTTAGCTGACTTCTCTGTTTACCATTCATTTTAACATGTCACTGTTACCCCCCTTTGTTATTGTTTGTTAATATTATATATACTGTCTCTTTTTGTTGTTGTTGTTGTTGTTGTTTTTCTGTATTGTGCAACTACTGCTGTTATTCTAAACTTGACATTGTGTAGTCACTACTTGAGTTTTTAACATTACTGTTGTAAACAAAGTTAAAAAAAAAAATTGAACTAAAGTGAGCCTTGCTCCATCTAAGCTGGGGTGAACTAATACTATACTTTGGCATCATATATATGTATATATTGTCTCCAGGTAGACATCTTAGTTACATACTTATGCTTTGTTTAAAACCATTTATTTCTCCAGCAGGATGGACAGGATGCTCAGAATCGAGATCACAACCTGTTCAGACAGAGACGATATTCCTCTGATTTTCACAAACTTCTAAAGAAAATTCAAGGTGATCCACCGTTTGCCTCTATCCATTATCATTCCATTTTAGCACACAGCTTTACCTTTCTAAGGGTTAGAGGTTAATTAAATACAATTAATGTTAAACTCTGATTTGCCAGATCATACTTTGATTCTGGTGTTTCATCTACCAGTATTTTGGCTAATGACTTACTAACTGAATTCAGACGTTAGAACTACTATTATTATATTATTATATTTTATTGTTATTTTGGAAAACATATACAAATAGATACCTTTTTGGTGCAAGAAAGCAGAAATTCAGGTGTGAAAGTTCCAAAGACAGATAGATGACATCAAAACTTACATGCAGCAAGAATAAATAACATAAAAAAATAAAGTTGAGCTGTATTGTTGAAAGAAATGCACATTTAAGAGAGGAATAAGGTGCTGGTATGAAGAAAAGGCATGTTCATCTTAATAGATGGAAAAAAATATAGATTAGAAAATCAGCCACTTAACAAATGATATTTAAAAAGTATGCAGTTTTTAGCTGATTTAAAAACTACAAATGATCAGTAATATCTGGAGTGCACCTTAACATTTCTAAGGGAAATAGAACAATGCAAATACATTCTTGATCAGAGCAAGAACCTGTGCAACCAAACTTTTAAACACTAATAGGGTCTGATGGGAGGAGCAAGGATTATAGTCTCAAACAGTGCTGAAAGGAAGGAGGCACTCCTTTGTGCATCTAAGATACCTGAAGTATTTTTACTTCAACTCACTTATTGTTCGATAAGAAGTTCATACCTATAGCTTATATCTTTCGTTCTCTCAGGCATCCCTCCTCATCTGGATCACGCACAGCTGGAGCTTTCAGTAGCCTACAACACCTGTGTGTGCTTTACTGCTCAGTCTCAGTTTGAGGATGCACAGATGCTCCTCACACAGACCATACAGAGAGGTGGGTTTCAGCCTGAAAGCTTGGGACCATTTACTGTACATGCTACAATGGATAAAATGATAACAATCATACTTATATGAGGTTATTATTGTTTTTTTTAAATCTTTTTTTATTACCTTTGTTCCTGGTAGTGCTTGAGATAGCCGGAGAGAATCCAGGTACCTCTGACCCTTCTGTCCTTTGGAAGGCAGCTCTTAAATCAGTGGCCAGCACAGCTTTGAAACGCTCCGTATTAGGCCTGTTCTGTTTGCAGTGGGGAACATGGCTGGCTAAGAGCTGCTGGACTGCAATTAAAGAATTTCAGGTATGTGTTTTAAGAACAATTCTCACAGCTATCACATTGTTTAGAACTATAAATGCACCATAAACCCTTTGCTTTTGTTGTTCAATCTCCATTTACCTGTTAAATGTAGACATATTGGCATACCACCAAACCATAATTATAACCATAATTTTGACTCACAACCTCACTCACCAACACGCTTGTTTTTTTTGCTATCCATAGAAAAAAAATTGATTAGCTGAACCCTTTTGAATACACATTAATATGCATAGTCCAGTTATGGTTTAAAAGAATAGTACACCCAAAACATGATTAGCCTTCATTTTCTACTCACCCCCATGCTGAACAACACTCTGGAGTACTTTTTTGATATCTCAAATGCATCTGGAGATCTGGGAGGCTTCTTGCTGTCTGCTGACATTCAAATAATGGAGGTCTATGGTGTCCGACACAGAAAGATCCATAAAAGTCCACAAAAACGTGTCAATATTCCTCCATACTGCTCGTCCAATGTATTCCAAGTGTCCTGAGTGGGTAGCATCCAGAATTTACTCGAAACGAAGTCATTTAGAATGTTTTTAGAGCATAAACAGTAGTGTATAGGATTTCCTGAAAGCGCGCGCCTGCGCGTTCACAATGCTACGGAAACCGCGGCAGACCAAACCAGATGAAAGTGCGCATTCAGCTCGGCAAAGAACTCATGCTCTTCCTCAACACTGAAGTCCTCAGACATTTTTCTTTCGTTGTTTCTTTCTTTGCACAGGTAAACAGCACATTTCTTCTTCTACGCTTGCATTATCGGCAGAGCAGACGCTGAATGCGCACTTTCATCTGGTTTGGTCTGCCGGCTTCTGTAGCGTCGTGAACGCGCAGGTGCGCGCTTTCAGGAAATCCTATACACTACTGTTTATGCTCTAAAAACATTCTAAATGACTTCGTTCGAGTAAATTCTGGATGCTACCCACTCAGGACACTTGGAATACATTGGACGAGCAGTATGGAGGAATATTGACACGTTTTTTGTGGACTTTTATGGACCTTTCTGCCTCGGGCACCATAGACCTCCATTATTTGAATGTCAGCAGACAGCAAGAAGCCTCCCAGATCTCCAGATGCATTTGAGATATCAAAAAAGTACTCCAGAGTGTTGTTCAGCATGGGGGTGAGTAGAAAATGAAGGCTAATCATGTTTTGGGTGTACTATTCCTTTAATATGGGCATATAGAGGAGCGATCGTGTAAGATGGAACTTTAAAAACCAAAATTGAAGTGCTGCCCTGATTTATAAAGGGAAATGAAAATTAGCCGAGTGTTAGTGGCCCTGAAAATTGGATTTCTTTTATTTATCTATTTATTTTTTACTTACATATACTTTCATACATAAGCAAATTAAGTATTATTAAGTCCAGAATAAGGCCTCTGGGCTCTTGCTTAGTGATTCAAAGTCCAGTTCCTAGATGAAAGTAAAGCTTGCATTTCAGTTAAAGTTTTGCTGAGTCATCTGTGAATCCTGATAGCATGAAGTCCAGTGTGATGATTTGGGGTGCCATATCAGGCGCTGGTGTCGGTCCTCTCTGTTCACTATCGTCCACAGTTAATGCAGCCATCTATCAGGAAGTTTGACAGCACTTCAGCCTTCCCTCTGCTGCCAAATGCGCTGATAAAGCAGATTTAATTTTCCAACAGACCATGGCACCTTCTCACACTGCTGAAGGTGCCAAAAGCTGGTTCGGTGTCCACAGGGCTGATGGGGCAGCAAACAAACCTGACCTGAATTATTTTCAAAAGGAAGACGTGGGACACCAGACCTAAGAATTAAGATGACCTACAGTAAGACCGCCATCAAAACAACATGGACTTTAATCAAACCTCAGCAGAACCGCAAGCTGACCTGCTCCTTGCCTTTAGTGACTAAATATATTGAAGATTTTCATGTAATTCTACATTTTCAGAAGTACCCATATATGAAGCCTTCTAGCATTAATAAATTGATTAAACTTAAAGCAAGTCTTCATCAGCACATTTCTTTTCTTCTCTGAACAATCTGGATAAATGCACCTTTTTTGTCTTCTTTCTTTTTCATTAAGCATTGCTAAGTATTGCATACAATCTGATAAAATTTTAAGAAAAGCCTTTGCACCTACAGCATTATGGAAATTAGCGAAATTAAGATATTTTGTCATTTTTCCAATAAACTGGCTTAAACAAAGCAGAGATAACTTCTTACAAGTGACTATTTGTCTTTTGAATATATAATATAATATAGGAAATGTTAACATTTGAATCTAGTACATATTATGGATTCATTTATCAACTATATGAATTCATAATGAATTTGTACAAATTGCAGTTAACTAAATGTTTAATGGTGGCAGAAGTAAAATGTTTTTTGTTGTTTGTACGCGAACACAAATGCTGACAATGATCCCATTTAGTGAGGTTTAAAAGTTTTTTTTTTTTTTATCAGGATAATACATTAGATCCTTTCAGCCTTGGATAGGGTTTGTCTTCCTTTATCTAAGTGTCTGAGTGGGTTTTCTGTAATTCTTCCTCCCATTTCTGAGTTTTTGTATTTCTTTTGTGAACATAGAAGCTGTAGTGGGATAACTGTCAGTTAATAGTCCCTAGAAAAGTCCAAGCTCTCATGTGTTCCCTCCTCTTCCTGGCTCTATTGATGTTTCTGCCAAACTGATCTTTGTTTTCCTTTGGTTGTGTGGTCAATTGAAGAAACTACTGTTCACTTTTTTCCTTGACACAGGCAAAGATTTCTCTGTTTGACGAACAAAGACAAGGAGTTTGGGATGAAAAGATCCCCAATTTTCCAAGACTGGTTGTGGAGCCAAGAAGGCTTTCTGAGCTTTTGAAGATCTGCTCTGCAATTAGCCAAGGTCAGCAACATTTATATCTCCTAAAAGAAAAACTGATTACAGATTAAACTTAAAGTAAATACTACTCTTGTACGTTAATGTTTTGTCGCAAAGCAAACAGAATATCCATCCATTTTCTGTTACGCTTATCCCAGTTGGGGTCGAGGGGGGTGCTGGTGCCTATCTCCAGCTGTCAATGGGCGAGAGGCGGGGTACATCCTGGGCAGGTCGCCAGTCCATCACAGGGCAACACACACTTACACCTAAAGAGAATTTAGAAAAGCCAATTAACCTAACAGTCATGTTTTTGGACTGTCGGAGGAAGCTGGAGTACCCGGAGAGAACCCACGCATGCTCAGGGAGAACATGGAAACTCCATGCAGAAAGACCCTGGGTTGTGCAGTAGGTTAACTAGTTTTGTTGCAGATGCTCCATCACATTGTGACATGGGAATTTTAACGCTCTTTTGTCAAAACTGTTTGTCTGATGCAGATATGTGTGGAGAGGATTATTCAGTTCTTCCTCTCTCTCTACCTATAACATCTGCTGCACATCTAAACCCTGCAGTGGATATGGATTAATAAAGCAATTTTTTTTTTGAATTTATGCTTTGCTGTTTTTATAACTAGTACAATAAAGATAAGAGTTACAGAAAAGCCTTGACAATGTGGAAAAGAATACCTACATTTTCCTTAGGTATTTTCAAAATCTGGATAAGATTTGAAATTAAATCTGAAAAATCTTTTATTTCCCGACTCTTCCATGTTTTGAATAAAAAAATTAAATGTATGTTTTTATAAATATTTATTTATATTTTTTGCATTGAAAACTTCTCCCTGCTTTGTAGGGATTGTTAGATGAAGCCTCATGAGGCATTAAACCTTTTGGCTAAATTACTTCAAGGATCCCCACAGTTCATGAAGCTTCATGTGAACATGTCATCACCTACTGGTGGAGTGTAGAACAACAGTTAGCAATATAATCTGGATTTTTTTTTGCATTTGTTTTCCTTGTTTTCCCCATTTAAGTTCCATTGAAATTGTTAACGAATGGTGTGTATAATAAAAAATTATGTAAGTTTTTTTGTGTGCAAAATGTGTTAGAGAACAATCATTTAATGTGCACTGTTTTTCTGCCATTTTAGTAAAATAAGCTCAAGCAGAGAATGAAAGTGCTTCTGCAAATTGGGCAATGATGAGCAAAATGAAAGGTGTTCAATTGATGTTCAATTAATTTGGTTGGAAGTTATGTGTCCAACCAATCTTTTGGCTAAACCAACCATCTAATTTGGCAGTGTTTTTACCCAATCTATATTTATACAAGGGCAAACCAATACAAATTAGTCACACTAGCCAAAATAAATAAGTTTCATAGCAACTTTCAACAATCAAAAGTGGGTCTCAAAACTTCAACCTCAGGATTGGAAGTCAATGTCTTACAGCTGACGCCACTAGCAATAGTATTTTGATTTTGATCCTTACATTGTTTAATCTAACTAAAATAGTTGTAATCAACTAGATTGGTTGGAAAAACAACCAATCTATTCTTAGAATATATACAAACTCTCTCCAACTGATAGCAACTCTCCGCTGCACCACTTCCTGACGTGGTTACTTAGTACGACGGTGTAACGAGGCTTCGGATGTCATCAATTTTGGCTCCTCCCCCAAATGAAGTAAGCCTCGATGCGCGCCTTGCGGAAAAGCCCCCTCCACTACTCAACAATCTCATGAAACTATATTTTAAATATGGTTTGTTTATATCATTTTATTTACAGTGTGAATGTGAAAGATTATATTTTTGGTCAGCAAATTAATTTTATTTTTTTATGGGAGACGCAGCTACAGTCCTAAATGGTGTCCTGCTAGGGTCAAATGTTCCTCTCAGTTACTATATTTGTTCTTCTTACAACTTTTTTTTCTCTGACTTGCTCATTGGATATCCACAGTGTGGGACAATAAAGAAATATTCTATTTTAATTTATTCTATTTTATGAATATATCGACTTTCTTTCTAGAATTTGACATTAATATGTGAAACTGATTAAATAATTAAACAGTTACTATAAAACCACGAGCTGGTGGTCTTGATAATTAGATGATGAAAATAGCCTTTTATTCATTTTCCCATCCTTTCTGTAATCATTTGTCCATTAGCTCTCCCTTCATTTCTTTAAATAATCCATCCTCCATTATCTTGACAGCTCACATTTTTGTTGAAAATCCAATTCTATTAGCTCTTAAAGGCATTCAGTGTTATTCTCCTGTCCTATTAAGTGACTTCTAATGATTAAAAATGAATGTGTTTTGCTCTTATCTGATTGTTTTATGAAGGTGCAGAAAGGCTGGATGAAGGTTGGAGTACCCTTTCATCTCTGCAGGCTGCCTCTGCCTTGCCTGCTCCCAGAGCTCTCATAGCATACACACACCTCCTCTCAGGTTCCTGCCTCGCCCATATGGTACACAGAAACCACTCATAAAGCATAAAAAAGCAGAATGTATTGTGGTTTGAATGCTGTGATCATGTTTGTATTTGAATTTGTCCCTAGAGCCGCCCTCAGATGGCACTGCAGTGTTTCAGAAAGGCTCTGGAGACAGATCCTTGTTGTGTATGTGCTCTCTACCAGAGCATACTCATCTACAGGCAGCTGGGAAACTCACAGGCTGAGATCCAGGCTCTTCGTATTCTGCACTCGGTCAGTAACCTGCATAGCTCTCAATAACACATTCACAAAAGTATCTGTGGTCCCAGACGTATCCATACTCCTAAAACTTTTCCACATTTCTGTTTTATACGACCAAAATATATAATAGAGCAAAACAAAGCAGGGCTCAATTATTAAGTGGAAGGAAACTCCATTTAGAACTAAAACAATTTATGGAACCACTTTTACCTCTCATTATTGCTGCAAATCTATTTCAGTGTATCTTCTCTAGCTTAATAAATTTAGGAACTAAAAGTTAGGTCTGGATTTTTGACTAGATTATAACAACACCTCCAAATTTTTTAATCTGAACCACATCTTATTGTATGCTGAGCCTTCTTTTCCTCTTGAAACTGACCCTCCACCCCAGTCTCTAATGCATCACAGCCTCTAACAGGCTTTTTCTGTATTGTATTGTTTTGTATTTTATCCATCTTCCCATCATCTCCAACCAGCTACCCTGTTTTATCCTTGAGAACACATCTCCACAGCATGATGCTGCCCCTGCAATGTGCCAATGTGGGATCTGTATAATCCGTATGATGTGAAAAGTTTCTGCCCCATGCAGTGTAGCTCAGACAGAAAAACATAAAAAAACAAAACAAAAACACTTTGGGTTACAGAACAGCTCTTTATACCGTAAATGAAATTACACAAATGTGAACTCTAGTAGGTTTTTATTTAGGATTTTATTGTAAAGGGGACTCAACAGTATTCCTCATCATTCTTTTTTCTATTTTAAAGTTTAGATGATTGATTTTTATCGTGCTTGATTCTTTCCACTTAACAAGCAGGCTCTACTTGGTGTTGGTCAATCACATAAACTCCAGGGTGCCACTATTGAGTTACAAAATGTGAAATTGGAGGCATATGTAGAGTTTTCCAAAAAACTGTTTTACAATGAACAAAAATACTAGATTAGCAAAAACAAAAACAACTTTTTATCACTTGAGCATATTAGTTTGGTTCCGTGGTTGAAAAACTACTTTTCTTCTGTCCTATAGACTTTGTTGTTACCCTCGACAACAGAACAAGCAATGGCTGGGAGCCAGCTCCTCTCACCGTCCTTGTTTCTCTGCAGCAAGTCACTGAGCAGCCTGCTCTCAGTCCCGTCTGCCCTCAGTGTCCTTCACTGTTTGGCTCTTAAATGTGTTATCCATGGCAGGTGAGGGAACCGGTATGACGTCCTTTCGCCAGTTTTCTATTTTGATACAGATATTCTAACTGGAGTGCAGTCATTTTGACCAATCTGTCCCAAGTTCATGTCCGAATAAAACATAAACATTAACCACAAATTATCCAGGTCAAAAGTCATGCAGTGATAAAAGCACTGATGAGAAGAAATAAAACAGCATGCATCTATTATGGTTACTGCAGGACTTAGCCTTATTATTGCTATCGCCGGATGATTGCAAGGTTTGTTGTTATTAACTCAGGGTTTTGCTCCTTTAGAGTGTCGGAAGGTGTGGAGTATTATTTGGACTTGCTCGCTGCTCTTCATTCAGAAGATCAACATGGAGTAAGGAAAAACACATTGATGGACAGTTTCTAAGGAAACTGAAATGCTTTGTATGACGTGTTTGTTCTTTATTGCTTAGCCGCCTGCTGCAGTCTCTATCCTCCCCAAGTTACCCAGGCTCTACCTTGAGGCTGGGGCTGCATTACTCATGGCCAGACGACCTGCAGACTGTCTGACCCTTTGTGATGAGGTCAGCAGGACAACTGTGGATCTGCTCCCTGAGAAAGTGATTGTGGATGATCCAGAGGAAGGAAGTGTGTCTTGGAGCAGGGAGGGGAAAGACGAGACTGAGAGCGGATTGGAGAGGCTGCTCTGGGCTGCAGCATCCTACCTCCTCCAGGGTCACTGCTACTGTCAGCTGATGGAATGGAAGCAAGCAGTTACTAACTACACTAGGTCTGTGTTTCTGGACTGGTTTTATGCAGATCATTTATGTACAAGATTGGAAATAAACGTACAACATGGTATTCTGCCCTGCAGGTGTATTAACCTGGTTGTGAAGGTGCACTATAAAAGGAGAAGTAGGCTATTTTTTTTTTAAAGACATTGTAATATTTAAATATCTAACTGCTCATGTTGGCTCTTCAGCTTTAATCTGAATCGCTCTATTCTTCATTACAGGCATCTCACCACAAATTCCCAGTACAGATATTGATGCTGAGCAGGCTGGAGATTTACTTGTCCTCCAAAGACTAAAGGGGCTTTCATTGGCTGGTAGGGGCATCAGCTTTGCTCAGATGAGCCAGCTGAGGGAGGCCCTCAGAGACCTTCAGCTCAGTCTGCAGGCCCACCCAGGTATGTTTATCATGGCTGGAAGTCTAAATAAATATGCATAGCTCACAGTATCCTGAGACCTGATGCAAGTACATATTCATAGTAAGTCTGATGGTACCCTCACAGCACATTTAAAATGGTGCTTAATGTTTCTCTAAAAACTCAGTCCATTAAAAGCAATGCTCTAATTTATCCCTCTATGCTTTTAGCGTTAATTGACCAAATGATTAAAGTACAAGATTTGATTCAGAAAGCTATCTTTAACATAGCATGTAGAGATTTGTTGATGTAGTCGTGTTTCAAGTTTCAGAGATGCTTTCAAGCTTTTCAGCAGATCTGGATCTCAGAAAGAAAGTTTTAGATTGTTGAATGGTAAATGGCCTGTACATATATAGCGCTTTTTCAAGTCAGGAGACTTGATCAAAGTGCTTTACACTGCTTTCAGTCATTCACCGGTTCACACACACACTCACACACTGATGGTGGTAGACAACATTGTAGCCACAGCTGCCCTGGGGCTCACCGACAGAAGTGAGGCTGACGTACACTGGCGCCACCTGGTCCTCTGACCACCATCATTAGACATGCGTGTCTTTCCCAAGGGCTTGAACTGTCAACCCTTTCAGGGCAAACCCCTACATCCGATGCCACTGTTGCCATACACAAGGCATCTTTCTGTTAACATTTTTTGTGTGACTGCAGCTGTCAATTGTAAAAAAAATATAGGTTAATGGGAATTCAAATGACCTCCCAGTAAGAGGAAATGTGACCTCTGGTCTATATGAAAGTGGAGCAGATAGAAAAGAAGCCAAGGAAACAATTGAATCCACCCATACATCCAACCTCAACTCAGGTGTCCGGGTTTGTCCCTTTTTGATCACACTATCCATGCCAATTTTTTTTTATTGTTTTCTTAGTCGCAGGTCAGGGTTCCTACTATGTGGTGATTCAGAACAGACAGCCAGCAGTACCCAAATATGAGAAAACATAAATTGATTGTTTTGAAATGACTCTCCATAAACCCAGAACTATAGAAAACAATGTGGAAAGGAGTACATACTATAGACTCAACCCTTCAAAACTGAATCTTATTGCTGCATATTTTTGTGTGATGCAAATAGTGCTGCAATAGAGTACAAAGTTGATAATACCACTTTTATTTGAATCTGTAATCTACAACAAGGTAAGATTTTTGTACTTGCTAAACAAATAAGGAATGAAATTGAACCTTTTTTGTTTTAAGTTATTGTAAACTTACCTCTCTTTTGAGTTTGTGTAAGAACACCAACTAATATCTCTGTACATAAAAGTATTTTGCACCATTGCCAGTCACCGGGGGTGTCAAAATACAGATGCAAAAATAACCCTGTCTGTATACACAACTATAAAAGGCTGATCAAATGTCTGTTCTCTGCCAACTCCAATCCTCATTGAAGTTGGCATGTAGGCTGTATTCTAGAAATGTTAAGAGTGAAAGAAGTCAGAAAAGCACACAAACACAATCTGACAGCAAAATGAGGCTCTCTGCATATATATATATATATATATATATATATATATATATATATATATATATATATATATATATATATATATATATATATATATATATATATATATATATATATATATATATATATATATATAGAAGAGGACATTTTCATAGAAAAAAAATCACAATGTTTATGTTTACATATTCTGTTGTCCTGGTTTTAATCACATGATCATGCAATCCTTTCTGTTTCAGAAGGTGTGACTGCAGGGCAGTGGTGTGGGGAGGTGCTGTGGAGGCTGGACAGGAAGCAAGAGGCAGCTGCATATTGGAAAAAGACCTGGAGCCAGCCCATTCCATTCATAGCAGAGTGAGATACTAAACTCTATGCACATACATGTGGTTCTTTTTAACAAAATTTTGTGTTGACTGGTAACCTTCCACCTGTTTAGATTTTGTGACTTAAAGTGTAAGATTTCATAATTATCCCGGGTGGATGTTGTTAAGCATTTACAAATAACAACTCAGAAAACATGAAAATTACAAAGGTAAAATTTTACCAATATAGAAATGTTAGACATTAGAAAGATTAGATTCTCTACCATTCAACCACCAAGATCATTTTATGGACAAAGCGAGCACCAAGGCACAATTAACACAGATATAGCAGCATGTCAAAATTTAAATATGACAAGAAGCCACAACAACATACCTTTGAAGGTGTCCAGAAGCCATATTATAAATTCAATCTTCAATTGTTTGTACTCCGTTTGTCCAAAAGGGTGCACGGATTAAAAATAATCCAGCATATTCAGAATAAAAACATTTCATGATGAGAAAATTGCTACATAACTTACATAATTTGACATAAGAAAAGTTAGCTGGTCATAGCTAATGTTTAGCATCTTGCTAATAAGACTTACTTCATCAAACGTTTGCCTGCGATGTTTGGTCTGTTTTTGTTTTTTTTGTTTTTTTTACATCGTCTTCCTACCTACAAGACAAAAGTGTCCACATCTTTGTATGACTCGATTTGATTCAGGAACAGCCAATTAAGCTCCTTAGCAAGCTCCTTGCCTGTCAGCCAATGACGCACTGAGTTGTTATTCACTAAATGAAACTTTTTATATTTTTATATTTATTTTTTATATAAAATGTTTTACAGTGCAAAAATTTGTTTTATATTTGTTCATAAAATCTCAATGAATATATATATATATATATATATATATATATATATATATATATATATATATATATATATATATATATATATATATATATATATATATATTTAAGTCAATAATCAGATGAACATGAAGAAAAGTGGAAAAATATTTGCTTCATAAATGTTTTGTGGCCATCATAATGCTTCAGTGTTATTCTATGGGTCAAATGGCACAATTTGGCACATTTGGAGGGATTTGGAGAAGCTGGTGACACCAAATGTTTAAAGCCCCACAGCTCTGGAACTGTTGTTTTTATATAGAAAAAAACTACTTTGAGTCATGTTTGAACTGAGGCAGTTTAGGCTGTGTTTTAGTCACATATTTTCAGAAACTATAGGGTGTTAGCTTTCAAATAATGTATCACACATGTAATTTGGGCTAACAATTCCTCAGTTATTTGCTGTTCCATTTGGGTATGCAAAATAGGAGAGGATACCCAAAATTAGGTGGGCATTAGATACTGCCTAATATTAGATTGGGCCTGTTTGAAAACATGGATTAAAAAAATAAAACTCTTTGAATCCCTGTTGACTATATTCTTTTTCTGGCCTAATTTCTCTTCCAGGACTCTTCCTGTTTATGCACAAGAACTTCAGTATGATCTGTTGCTGGATTCAGAGGAGCTGCATCAAAGACTGCAAGAACTTGACCCTATCTAGGCAGACTGGATAGAAAATTTCGCTTAGTATGTGTGCGCGTGTGTGGTGGGGTGCTATCAAGCTCAAATTCTAATGAGACGAATATGTGGAGAGAATAAAACAGTTGTGTGAGTGGAAACCTGTCATGTGGGCTTGTGAGTCCAGATTTATCTGTTCTTTTCATTTCTAGAGCTATTGTTCTGCGTCTTCTAACATCAACCCACTTTGCTTGAAGATTTGAACAGAACCACATTATCTACTAAAACTGTTACCCTTAACTTTTAAAGCCAACCTTTCTCTAGAAAAACGTCTTAAGCGTAGCCTCATTTAATGCCACAGAAAGTTTTAGGGAACGCATCCACTGACAACAAGCTCAACTTTGTGCCAACTCCAGATGATCCACCAAACCCAGGGATCCTGTAGACACTCAGCACTTTACAAGTGTAAAGATATAGTTCCATCTTGCATGGAACACTATTGTTTGATGGCATGTTGATAGTTAAAAAATATAACCTTGCTTGGAATATAATTGTCAATAACTAATGTAACTTGACTGGTTAAACACTATTTTAAGTAGGTGATATAAATCTAACGGCGAAGAAGCCTTATCTTTTAAAAATGTTACTGCATAAAAATAAATATTAGTCATGGACATGGAACTTAGAACAAATCTGTGTGAATCCTTTGACTCCAGTACACCCCCTTTACTTTGAAGATTGGCTTAATTAATTGGTTTAATTAATCCCTGTGCTCAGTGACCAGACCAACTCATTATAACCATAGCAGGTCAATAACAATGCAATTTATGGATTCAAATATGGTAGAATTTTAATGAGAAGTGAACCAGCAGTTGTTTAAATTAAAATAATTATATTGTTATCACCTTTTTGTAGTATAGCAACCATGTTGACTATAGTGTTCTATTAAATTGTTAGATTGTATATTGTTAAATATACCCATATTTATATTGCATATATAGATCAAAATATTACATTTGGTGGTCTAGATTGATGGGAACTGATTAAGTGTTATTTAAGAAACTTATTTTTCTAAATTTTGAAATGAAGCAACTGAGCAAAGTATGCTTAGTTATCTAAGGAAGGCATTTAGTCTATTCATAATTACAAAAATCCTGTGGAAGTAAGGTTCATTACATGTTTTGCGTAGATTTATTATGAAAAATTAATGTCATTCTTACATTTTGTCATAAAAGGGGTCAGTTTGTAAAGTCTGGAATGAGTAAACACACATTTTCTGTTTTCAATATCAACGCGGTGAGCGTTAATTGGATGAATGGGATTTGCTATTGAGCCAATAAGAAAAAAGTTGACGACCTCCTTTTTTCCCTTTGTAACTGGCCAAACTTCAGCAGTACCCTCGGTGACTAGTCTCTACGCGTCTGATTGGTTACCGAATTTCACGGAGCGCTGCCAGCCAATCAGAACGTAGGATGTGTGTAACTCATGGTATAACCGTAAAGAAGGCAAAGGAAACCGCTGCTCTTTCGTGTGAATTCACAAGGAACGTTTAGTTGCGATAACCGGTTAAGCTTCTTTAACATTTAGCTAGACTTTATTTATTATCAGCAATTCAGGAGGTCAACCATGGCTTCGGGAGGGGAGTAAGTATATATTTATAATCTTTATATTTTCTGAGCCATTTTTTTTTTGTTGCGATTGGAGCCGTTACCCTTTAAATGTATTACGTTCAAAATGCTAATACATTGCTAGCTAAGCAGTTAATGTATCCTCCGCAGCATTTTCTGGAGGCTAAAAACGTCATAGCAGCTTTACATTGGACTTATTGAGTGGTATTTAAATGTTATCAAAACACTTAGTTTTCCATGATGGGTTAACGGTATTCTGTTGTGTGACTTCACAAAGCGCAGTCATTGCTACTCGTTTGCTAACTTTAGCTTAGCAACACTGTCAAGGCCAAAGCCATCACACTGAAAATCGGCCTATTCAATGACACCGATGTATCTTTTTCGGAGTTGATATAAAACGTTGAACCACTGATATTTCAATTTTACATTTTCCCTCAAAAGTTGGCTTGACAGGCTTAGGACTGTTACTAAACCGACCGATTGAAAATGTGAGGAGCTGCTAGGCTAAACGGTGCACTAGCGCAGGCTAATTGAATTTAGGCGATCGTCAATGTTTTAGACATCTGTTTGCAGTTAGAATAAATCCCTTTAAACGAAGTTTTCTTTAAAAGTATAAAGAATAGTGTCTTGGGATTTGACAAACGATAATGTTATTTCAACGGGGAATCTTTAATGTACGCAGTTAGCGAACAAAGTTTTCTTTTTTCTTTTTTTGTCAGATTCTTTTGCTGTGTCATCTGCGTTCCCCTAGTCGCCAGCCGGTTAGCACCAGGCTAATGCTAGCATGCTGTCAGCGTGAAAGGGAAACTACCAAAACATTCCGGGAAGTTTCTAGAAAAAAATACAACTTATTTATCTTAAACTTGGTGTGATTATTTGAATGTACGAAAAATATTTCGCAATTTTTTTTTTTCTGAATTGTAATATGATGCTTCTTGTGATGTGTAAATGACCGGTTCGAACATATTGGTTAAACATGAGCCAAATGGCTAGAGCAGTATTGCTTATGTGAAAACGTAAACACAAGACGACAGAGAGATATCACCATTTCTTCTTAAAATGAAACCTATATATATATATATATATATAAATAATAAATGATAGTAACACTCTTATAAATTTCGATGTAATTATCCACATTCTGAGACCTTTATGCATTTTATTAAGGGTTAATTGCCTAGTTTGTTATATGATCTTTTGGTTTTGTTTATTAGATCGACTTCAACTGAATCTTACACCAATTGGATTCATGAGAGTTGGACATGTTTATAATGTGGTTTGACTTATTTTCAACACTGTATATTTAAACTACAATGCGTGGAAAAAACACAATGAATAAATCAACATTATGGAGTCGCAAGACTAAAAATACATTAAAAGGGCGCTGTAGTCTGAATATCTACAGATAGGAATGCTGTTTCCTTTTTCATAAATAATAATTATTGACATAAAAATGCTTGATTGTATTTTCATTTCAGATGAGTGTTTCAGGTATTACTCCAACTTTATTCTGGTTCCCTTTTTTGGTTCTACTGGAGATATTTTTGAATATGAGCTAGTATTTATGGAAAATACTCGTTAGTAATAAACTAATGCAAATAGTTATTATACATAAAAAGTAAATTGATTATTTTCATTAAAGAGGGCTGGGACAAAAGAAAGAAGTATCAAGGTCAACAAAAGAATGGATAAATAACATTGTCATTTTCTTTTTGAAATTTAAAATAGCTGGACTTTACTCCAGTTATGTTTTCATACCCTATTGGAATTGCTCTTTCCTAGATGATGCTGAATTCTGTATTTTTTTTTGCCAGCAGGTGTAATTTCCTTTAACCTTTTTATAATGTTAACTCATAGAAAATCTTTGTTCTGATTATTAGATAACATGGTCTAAGTCTTACTTGCGACCGTCTCTTTCATAGATCAAAACCTGAAGATCTAACAACTGCAATTCTTAAGCAAAAGAGCAGACCCAACAGACTGATTGTCGATGAATCGATTAACGAAGACAACAGCGTCGTCTCTCTTTCTCAGGTAATAATTCGGAAGCATTTTTCCCCAACAACGAGATGAACACAGTCAGATTGGGCATTGAAATAATTTAATGACATAATTTTATTGCATCTTAAGGCCAAGATGGACGAGCTGCAGCTCTTCCGTGGTGACACAGTTCTGATGAAGGGGAAGAAGAGACGGGAGACGGTTTGTATCGTGCTCTCAGATGACACCTGCTCTGATGAAAAAGTTCGTATGAACAGGGTGGTCCGCAACAATCTGAGGGTCCGTCTTGGTGACGTCATCAGGTGGGGGGAAATACAATTCTTGTCCAACTTTCCACCTCATGCCTAAATTTTACATCATGCTAAGTAAAATTTCTTCCTCAGCATTCAGCCATGTCCTGATGTAAAGTATGGAAAGAGGATTCATGTCCTCCCTATAGACGACACAGTAGAGGGAATCACTGGCAACCTGTTTGAAGTCTACTTGAAGCCATACTTTCTGGAGGCTTACAGACCAATCCGTAAAGGTGAGTTTCACTGCCCATTGTGCAGGGGCTTTTTGGAATAAGTGGACATATGGGACTGAAGTAATACTCCCCCCTCTTTACTTGTAGGTGATATCTTTCTGGTCAGAGGAGGCATGAGAGCTGTGGAGTTCAAAGTGGTGGAGACCGATCCTTCCCCCTACTGCATAGTTGCTCCTGACACAGTCATCCACTGTGAGGGTGAGCCAATCAGGAGAGAGGTACGAGCACCCTTAAATCATCTATTTACATTTCTTTTTGTTTTGTTTTTTTTGAATGATCGCTGTTAACTGCAAGATGTGATCTTTAATCCCTAGGATGAGGAGGAGTCCCTGAATGAAGTGGGATATGATGACATTGGAGGAGTTAGGAAGCAGCTAGCTCAGATCAAAGAGATGGTGGAGCTGCCTCTCAGACATCCTGCACTGTTTAAGGCCATAGGAGTCAAGGTGAGCACTTATTTTCCAAGTTAAATTCCCCTCTTTTAATTTACTGTAATAGCTGACCTTATTATTGTGAACTGAAATACATAGATGTTACCTGCGACAGACTACCATTTATCACTCAATTTAATTTCTTAAACTTTCAAAACACTTGAGTTTATAAAAAAAAATTCTGGATTAATTGTTTTTACTTTGGATTTTATAAACTTCCCAATACCCATCTATCCCGTCTCCTTAGCCTCCGCGTGGAATTCTTCTATATGGACCTCCTGGAACTGGAAAAACCTTGATTGCCAGGGCTGTGGCAAATGAAACTGGAGCTTTCTTTTTCCTAATCAATGGTTTGTGCTCTTGTTGACGTAACAGCTACCAGTATAAACGTTGCCAGATTTATTAAAAAAGGTCTCTAAAATTAAAGCCTTAATCTCCTGCTTCCAGGTCCTGAGATCATGAGTAAGCTGGCTGGAGAGAGTGAGAGTAACCTGAGAAAGGCCTTTGAGGAGGCGGAGAAGAACGCTCCTGCAATCATCTTTATTGATGAACTTGATGCTATTGCTCCAAAGAGAGAGAAGGTGAGTTTAGTGGCTATAACTCATGTAATAGACTAAAGGTTGCAGCAGTTTGTCCAAAATATTTTATTATCCAGTCTTTTACTACCTTCTGCAAAAATGTTGCTTTTCAAATCGAAGTTGTGTGTTTTGTGTTTTTAGACTCATGGTGAGGTAGAGAGGCGCATTGTCTCCCAGCTGCTGACTCTCATGGACGGCCTGAAACAGAGAGCTCACGTGATTGTCATGGCTGCCACCAACAGACCCAACAGCATTGATCCAGCTCTCAGGAGATTTGGTACTTTTTTTTTTTTTTTTTTTTTTTTTAAGCAGAGGTTCTTTAAAATAGTTTACTTATTAGAGGTGGTGTAACATTCATTTAGTTTTGTTTTAAAACCTGTGA